GAAAATTGAAACGCAGAAAATTTTAATTTAATAAATGTATACTAAAATTTAAATTTTAATCGGCACGAACTTTCCGGACAACCCAATATATTTATACTAAATATAAAACCATTTGTAAAACAATAATAAATAATAACATTAATTAAAAAGATTATACACAAAAGAAATAAAATTAAAAATTGTTTATAAAATTAAAATTGTTTATAAAATTAATTGCTTAATTATTTAATTTAACTAAATTATTTATTATTCATTTATCTCACACGTTCCATCTGCCAGTTAATAAATTAGTTAATGTATTTCATCTTAAGAATAGAGTCACATGCATTAAATGCAAATTGAATATGTGGGAAATATAAATTTCTGAATATCCAATTTCTAAAAAAGTATAGCACTTAAAAGTTCTTTTGGAGGTTCTCAACAAAGTCTTCCTTTAATTCTCAATATGAAGAAAATAGAAATAAGTAATTATTCATAGCATCGAAGGAGGACAGCCAATTATAATATCATCTACATTGATTCTCTAAATTTGATGGAACTTGTAAATATAATGTAAGAACTAAAATTTCGACATATATTTGGTATTTGATGAAAGCAAGAAAAATTTTAGTTTCAATAATCTAGTGCAATAAAAAAAACAGACATAAGAGACAAACACATTTTATTTCCAATTAGAGTTATTATCTTGAATGGATCATAAACAATATAAATGTCCGGTAAAAAATTTGTCATGCATGTACATATATATTTAAACATACATAAACATGTATAAATATATAATTATATATGAAATATGTCTATACATATAATCATATATTCTTCTTTCTTTTGTAAAATTGCTGTTTAGTGTAAGAAAAATAATAATAATAATGAAAAAACAAAAAATAATTAAAAGGATAATTTTTGTTTTTTTTTAGAAGAAAAACAAATTTGAAAAAATGTAGAAGAATTGCTTATACATAATTATATATTTTTTATTTTAATTATATGTTATTATTTATAATTATATTATATGAGCGATTTTTTTACATTTTTCCAAACTTGATTTTTTCTGAAAGAAATAATATGAAAATTATTCTTTTAATTATTATTTATGTTTTCTCGTTATTATTATTATTTTTCTTATACTAAACAGTAATTTTACAAAAGAAAGAAGAATGTATGACTATGAAAAATGTATAGACACATTTTATATATTATATATGTTTGTAACTATATATGTTTGAGTATGTTTAGATATATTTATATATGTTTATATGCATGAAAAATGTTTACCGAGAGATTAAAGAAAGTAAAGCATTATATACAATCAGATACATAAAATAATAACTTCCGTATTCTATGTAATTGAAAATTGTATACATATATATGGTATTTACAATAAATAATAGTAACAACAAAGATGAAATTATATGCACGCGAAGTAAATTCAAAGTAAATATCTCACAAAAAATTCTATTGTTCCATCTCAATCCTACAAGAAATCTGATATTGTTATTTCACAGAAAATATAATTATAAACACATATATATATTTTGTGCTGATTATTCATTTCTAAATCCGAAGATCAATGATTAGCGTATTTGTCCTGGATGAGGATCACTATGAATGTAATTCTGATAAATCGCATCGAAATGTATGAAACTCATATTTAAAGAAGCAATATTTTCTTTCTGATCATTTCATAATCACTTGTCGTATCGATGTATGTATGAGTGAATAAACTTTACAATCATTTCAAGTTTTTTCTGCAATGAGCTGCAATTAGAACTATCCACTGTCTACGGGAACTTGCATATCGATAATGTTGATTTGCTGTCACCGTTTCTCTATGTAATAACTTAATCGCAGAAGAATAAAGCTTGATATTAAAAACCAACTGGCAGGAATGGATGCCAGTATGCAGTACCTTTCAGCTGAAACATCAAGAAAAATTATACATTGGATGTAAGATTTACGTGATATAAAACCAGGGAGCGTAATAGAAATAATATTTGAAAAAAATTGATTTTTAAAATTATTTTTAGCGAATATCATGTCCGGATGATTTTAATGTCTAAAACCTTTTATATTTAAAACAAAAAAAAATCTTTTTTTAATTCGTTAGACATCAGGAATATTCTGCTTTTATATCGCATATTTTTAAAATTTTTTATACGATTATTTTAGAATTGTTTTAAAATTAATGCTATGTTTTAAAACATACACATTTATGTCAAAAGCTGTTATTGAAAATCGATACATAAAGTTTCAAAAGAAAATTTAAATAATTACTGCTTTTTAAATTTGAACAACAGAAAATTATTAAATAATTTAGCCTATATATTATTATACACAATATATACATATATCTGAGTGATTAAAGGAAGCCCACTTCAACCGACAATAACTTTGCCAAAAATTATCATAGGATAACGTTCCTTTTTTTAATTAATGTTTGAAATCTCTATTTTAAGACACTGTGGCCAGATTTTAAGTTTAATGCATCCATGAGGGCGCGCGCGCGTATTTGTCATATTAAAAATTATATACAGTTTGATAGAATGCACGGACTTTGTGTAAAATTTTTTTAAGGAACGCCATTTACAGGCATGAAGTTCAGACTTTCAAAAAAAAAAAAAAAAAAAAAAAGGAGTTGCGATTTCGTTTCAAAAGTCTTTTCAAAGTTACACTTTAAAATTACCTTTGAATTTTTGACATATATATAATAGTAGTAATATACTACTATAATAGTATAATAGTATAATAATAGTATACTACTAACACTACCTGCATTATTGAATATGCACCATCGATGAGATTGCTAGATGAATTTTATATATCATATTTCTACGTGTGTGTAAATTTCAGTAATGCGTGTTGCTTCCACGTTGCTTGATTATTGCTTGCAGTCAATTCCTCATATTAATGCAGACCTTAATTTCTTCTTACGGAATGTACTCATTCCAGATTTGTACTAGAACTTATGATAAGTTGAGATTAACAGGTTGCCAAATTTTTCTCTTAATCTACGACCCATTATCTAATACAAATCTGGAACAAGATATGCAAAATCCATGCAGCAACCTCATCATAGTGCATCCGGTAATGTCAGTAGTATATCTAAAAAATGCGAGAGTAACTTTAAAGTGGTATCGCATAGGAGTGGCTTGTAGCAGAAAGAGGGTAATCGTCCGAAGTGGCAGCGCATAAGGTGATGAAAAAAAATTAGTGTTCAAAAATTGCGATCTGCAGCAATTTTTGAACAGTAATTTTTATTTCCCCACTATGTGCTGGTATTTAAGAATGAGTTGATAAGCGAAGTGAATATTAATGAAGTAATAAAGTAACGTTTTACAGTTTTTATAATTAATATTTACCTGGTTACCTTCTCTCTCATCATATTTTCTTCGATTTAGGAGATTTGTACAATATTTATCTGCAGTTTTTGAACGAATTTCTTTCGAAATATCATTTTTGCGCTACAATTGAAAATGTATTGTCGGCTCCTTGTCTGGCACATATTAAAAGTACTAATTTTAAATGCAATTATCTTTTGAACATAGTTACCCCCCCCCCTCTCAAAATGATACATATGTATAAAGAATATCATTATCTTCAAATAGTAAAAAAAAAAAGTCTTAAGAAAAATCATTCTGTGATACAATCACCTTAAAATGCTATAACTTTGCGAAAAAAAAATCGCAATTCAATCTTTTTTTTAAATTAAAGAGGAAAGTTCGAACTTTACACTTGCCGCTACAAATGATATTCCCCATCAGAAAAATTTTACAAGTCACTTTTCAATTTTCAATATGACAAACATACCCTCATATTTTGAAAGTTATAGTGGCAGAGGTACATTGAACTTAAAATCTGGCGTCTTAAAGAGAGCTTCCAAACTTTATTTAAATAAAAAATTTAATTAAAAAAAAATCGTTATTCTACAATAATTTGTCGTAAAGTACAATAATTTATCGTCAGTCAAAGTTGGCCAAAATTTTTCTATGCCATAATTTTTTTTAACAGTAACATATATATACAATGTGTTCAGTATAATGGTCCGTACTTTTCAAACATTTCCGACAGTTTAGAAAAAATTGAAAAGTGAGTTATTTGTTTTATATAGACTATAACATGCAATAAAAAAATATTTAAAAAAATTTTTTTCATTATTGTGTAGTTTGTATGAAACAAATAAATATTCACTTTTCATTTTTTTTTTAAATTGATTTATGCTTATAATAATATTTTTTGCTAATAGGATATTTATGATACATACATATTATATGTTTATTTAATAAAATATGTAATAAAATCAATATTACATCATAAAGAAGACATTTCGATAGTGATAGATTCGAATCCATCTTGAAGATCCAATATTATGAAATATACAATATTATGAAAAGAACTATAAAGAATTATGTACGATGCCATTTAAAAAATTTAAAATGACTTTGATTTTTATAAAAAAAAAATGTTTGTAATTTTTTTATTGCATGTTGTAGCCTGTCCGAAACAGATAAATATTCACCTTTCAATTTTTTTTTTAAACTGTCGGAAGTCCGAAAAGTGCGACACCGTTACACTGAACACTCTGCGCGCGCGCGCGCGCGCGCGTGTGTGTGTGTGTGTGTGTGTGTGTGTCTACTCAGTTTATCTCTACTGTCAAATTTATATACTGTTGGATCTTATAATTTTCAAACATAGTCATTTTCAAATTTTAATGTTACTCTATAAATATTTGTCATTGCATTTAAATATCTTTTTATAACTTTAGAGCGTTTCTTAATTAATATAATTTCTACTTGTTACAGAATTCACACGCATGCACATACAGTGTCAGATTAATGCATAAGCAAACAAAGTATTTGCCTAGAGGCAGATTTATGGGAGTGGCAAATTTTTCAAGATAAAATTTTCACATACCTGAAATAAATTTTTAATTTGTTAATCTAATATTTTTGCACTGAGCATATTTTACCAGAAATGATATTTTAAATATACAATTAAAAATGTATTATATTTATATTAAAACTAAATATAGGTATAAAAGATCAAAGCTTATATCAAAACAATGTAAAAGTAATACAAGGATGTATGAGTAAAAGCCAGATTACAGTTACTAAAACATAATCATATTTCAAATAATATATAATAAAACATACGTTTCAACCAAACAATGAAGTCATTATCATGTCATTCCAATAAATATAACAATAGTTACATCCTAATGTTTATACATTCGCAAGTTAAATGAATTTATATTCTAATGACTATAATTACAATTAATTTAGTTAATTAAAAAAAATGCAATTTAATGCACGAAATCTGCATGTTCTCTCTATTTTAAATATTGGTCGGTGTAGAATACATAATTGAAAGAGAGATCACACAATTAGCTTGGAATTCAAAAAGGACTAATATTACAATAGTCATTTGTTCATGAGAATGTTCATGAGAATTCTTCATAAGAATCTTCTATGTTTGCGAATTAGAAATCTTGCAATCTGATGAAAATTATAAAATCAATGTAATGCTCAGACTGATTCTTGTTAAAAATTTTTGTATAGATTATGCTTTATGCTTTAAAATGTTGTTAGTTGTTGCAACTGTTGCAAGCTAATTGTACCTCTCTTTCAATTATGTATTCTATACTGGCTAACATTTATGAAAATAGAGAGAACATGCAGATTTAGGGTTATATACTCTTGTATTACTATTATATATTTATATTACTTATTAAGAATTGTTGAATGTTTTTACCACCTAATGCGGGAGTATAAATCATTTTCCCTTTTATCAAATTTATAAATTAATGAAGCCACTTGGGGACGGCTAAATATTTAATCCGTCACTATATATACACACGCATGCACAAACACAACTTTTACTTTACGAAATGATTATCACACATGTTTACATATAAATTTTCTTAAAATCTAACTTTGTAATCAAGTTTACTTTTAACTACACTTGATTATGTTTACGTTAATAATTATATATGTACAAGTATATATATATTATTTTATTTACATATACCAGGCATATAAGCTTAAATCCGCTGTTTTTAGTCAGAAAAACACATTTTTTTTTCCTAGGAAGCAAAAACAAATTTATTCAAAATACTTGTCCTCGCTAACTATTTTTCCCATCTTTCGGGCAATTTGTATATCACGCCAAAAAAATTCCTCATCTTTCGAGGCAAACTACTCATCAAGCCATTTTCGGACGTCTTCGTAAGAATCGAAGTGCCGCTCAGCGAGCGCGTGGCCCGTCGACGAAAACAGGTGATAGTCAGAAGATGTTCTGATGAGTAAGCGGGATAGAGTAGCCCCCAACTTCCCAGTTGAGAGTCTCCAAGTAGTTTTGGAGACCATTGTTGATGTGTGCGATGGTGCGTTGTCGTGGAGGAAAATCAACTTGTCATGTCTTTTAATGCGGTCTTTTTTCACGCAGAGTACGGTGCAATTTGATCAGTTGTTGATGGTAGCGGTGAGCATTAACAGTTTCACCAGGTTTTAACAGTTCGTAGTAGATGACACCTTCCTGATCCCACTAAACGCACAGCATCGTTTTCCGTCCGAAGCGATTTGATCTTGAGGAAGATGTTGATGGTTGGGGGAATCAACCCAAGATTTCTTGCATTTAGGATTCTGAAAATAGGATTCTGAAAATCCACTTTTCATCGCCTGTCATAATCCTGCAGGAACGACTTTCTTTTTTGTCTGGCAAGCAGAATTTGGCATGTGTTTTGACGTCGCTCCATCTGCCTATCGTTCAGTTCATGCGGCACTCATTTTTCGATTTTTTTGAACCTTCCCCATGGCATGTAGCCGTATGGAAATTGCTGCTTGAGAAACATCCAATTGCTCGGCAAGCATTTTTTGCGATTGGGTATCGTCCTCGTCCAAAAGAGCCTGCAATTGACAGTCCTCAACATTCCTGGGCTGATTTTCACGCTTCTTGTCACTCAGGACGTCAAAATTGTCGTCATTGAACCGAAACCAATCTCTGCACGTTGTTTCTGATAAAGCATTGCCGCCATAGGCCTCCACAAGCATTCGATGCGATTCGGCAGTCGATTTCTTCCAACAGAATTAATAATTTAATAATTTCTTAAAACAGAAAAGCAAAGCTTTTCCCGCATATGCTTTTTTTTTAGCAAAAAACTAGACATGATTAGGAAAGAAAAAATGTATGTTGTTGTATGAAATTGCTGATGATGTGCACTGGTTAATGTTGACAGATGTCAAACACATAAAAAAAAGTGTGTTGTGTGCCCAGGGTAGCTTTGTCGCTCACTAATGCCACCTATGAGCAAACAGCGGATTTAAGCTTATACACCTGGTACATATACAAATATTTATATACATAATACATTTAAAAAGACGTAACATAAAGAATTATTTCTGTGTCAAAGAGACAGTAAAGAGTATTTAAACTAGCAATCTGAATCACATCAGACACCTCGAACTTGGATTGTTTGATGGTTTTACATTTACCTGTCATTTGGTCGGACATTTTTCCTGTCACCCAACCTAGGCTCCTTTCCACCGCCATCTTCCATTTCTTATACCTCGCGTCCCTTTCTACAAAAAAAAAAAAAGGAAAGATACAGCAAAAGTTGCATCATAACCGTATATTGTATATTTTCAGAAAAATAAGTCATGAAATTGTTAAATTACTCAATTCGAAAATTTACCTTCCGGTGTGGTAGTTGGAAGAAAAGTGTCGGTTGGTACTGTTTCTACTTCTTCGCCTTCCAGATCCCAAACATCTATTCCTTCAGCATGTCCGGCAACCATCGCTACACCTAAAGCCGTGATGTCAGGCACAGTTGACCTAACTATTAACCGAAACAATTAATTTCTATCTAAAAAATAGAAATTTCTACGATAAAAATTAAAATAAAATATTATCACATTAGCTATATTTCTAGTACATAAATGTTGCCAATATACTTACATACTGGTGTACCACATAAATCGGCTTGCAATTGCATAAGCAGATTGTTAGTTGACATTTTTCCATCTGTATTTAACTTCGTTAACGGAAATCCGCAATCTTTGTACATCGCTTCAAGAATATCCCTGGTTTGAAAGCATACTGCTTCGAGGGATGCTCTAATTATGTGTTGCTTCGTAGTAAATGCAGTAAGTCCACAAATTATTCTGAAAGAAAAAAGCAGATCTTTTTCAAATACACTTACTAACTCTCATTTGACATTACAACCCAAACAACACAAAGTCTAAAATTATGACGTAAGGTACGTTTTTAAATCATCCTTTAGACGCAAAGAACGTCTTCTGATCTGATTTTTGTTTGGGAAACTTTCGATCAAACAAAATATTTCGAAAATATTATAACATGCATCATGTGTAATTTATTAAATAACTTCCCTAGTGAAAAAGTTTTGCTGAAATTATTCCACATTTTGGAACACTTTTCAACAAAATTTCAGCATTTCAACAAATTTTCAGTTTAATTTCAGCGATTTTTAGTTGGAAAATTTATTTTCTATAAAGTTTTAGAAAAATTTCAGCAAAATTTTCAGACAAATTTCAGCAAGAATTTCAGAGAAATTTCAGAAAATTTCAGAGAAATTTCGATTGGATTTCAGTGATTTTTCAGTTAGCTGAAAAATTCACTTTCAGTGAAGTTTCAGCAAATTTTTAGCAATTTCGCTGAAATATTCCATGTTTTTATAAATAATTTCTACATTGTTTATATTTACAGAATAAAAACTCAATAAATAGTCCGAGCAATTTTTAAAACTCTACCAACCCCCTTGCATCTTTTCTCCAATAAGGTGCATATAATCCTGTGAAGGCGGGTACAAAGTAGACGTCTCCCGTACTAAATACACTTTGAGCTAAGTGTTCACTTTCATGAACATCTTTTATGAGCTTCATATTATCCCGTAGCCATTTTATAGCTGCACCTGCAACTGCAATTGAACCTTCCAATGCGTAAACAGGTGGACTTTTCGGACCTAACTGATATGCGACGGTCGTAACCAATCCATGAGAAGAATATACTCTCTGAAAGAAATACGTAACAGATATGTTTTGAAAATCGTAATACAACTGAGAAGGTGATTCTTTATGTAGACATAAGTTGAAAATACATGTTCTGTAATAATTTTTCACAGAGAGCTTCCGAAAAAATCGTCTTTGAATATTTGTTAAATACGCGTGCACTTTACTTGGTTCACTTGGTAATCTGATTATTTACCGCTATTTCTATGTCAATCTAGATTTATATATAGATATAGTTTAAAATAATATCTACAATTAGTTTCAATAATGTATTTATTTTATTAGAATTAGTTGAAAAATTATTAAAAATATTGCCTTTTATGTGACAGACAAATTCTTATTTGAAAGACATGTAAATCGATGGCAATATGTTATAATTCTTCATTTCTTTGAACGAATGTGTAATATTATTTCTTAATTGAAGATGATATTCAAACTCGATTTTCTCAAAAATACAGCTCTGTACGAAAAAATTTTATTGTATTTTCAACTTACAATGAGAAATTACTTTCTTTTCGATTGTATTATGATTTCTGTGAAATAATAATTAATAAAATTAATAAAATTAATAAATAAAATAAATAATTAATAAAAGAAGAGATTTAAGATAATAAATAGAAGAGAAAGATTTAATAAAGATTTAATGAATGAGATCAAGAAAAATAAATCTAATTAAAATTTTTCTATATGTTTATGAATACTTAAGAATTACATACGGTATGCCCTGTGTTACACAGTAAAAAGCAGCCACTTCTATACGTATTTTTCGCTTGACCCTTCTTCAAACAATTTTGTCCGACCAAAGCAGATTGTTGATTTCCTAAAATCTAATAAAGAAAGAAAACAAAAAATATTATAATTCTGTATTGTTGTTTTCTGTTATTTTCATTACGAAATCTTACGTACACCAGATATCGGAATGCCAGACAACGGACCAATCAAGATTTTACCATATATCTCGGAACTGCTTTTGATTTCCGGCAGCATTTGCATAGGAATATCGAAATATCTACATAACGTAGGATCCCATGAGAGCGTTTCAATATTCATTAACATCGTTCTCGACGCGTTCGTAACATCAGTGATATATAGTCCACCGTCTTTGCCTCCCGTTAAGTTCTGCAATAATTTTTTAAATTAATTGTACATCAATTCATGTAGTTTTTCTCATTTTGAGTGCATGCGAGCGCGCGCGCGCGTGTGTGTGTGTGTGTGTGTATGTGCGTGTAAAGTATATGATTTTTAATTTCCTTAATCAGTACATATCAATACATATAAAAGAATAAATTAAGAATTAGAATTTGTGCACTAATTTTTCGAATATTATATTATATATATAATACTTCAAATGTTAAATAAGTTATTTAACATGACAATCCTTGTAATATATAGCACTGTCTAATACCATCTGATATTGTCAACTACTGTTTAATATTAGTGATAACTTCCTCCCTCAAGATATAGCAAATATAAATATTAGCGAGTGTTAATTAATTGGATAAGCCTAGTTAAGGTATACTCGTTAATTCTTACTACGCCTTGCTAATATCGCTTTATCACATACCCAAACAACCCATGTATCCATGGTTCCCACTTTGCATCGTCTCTCACGAATTGCTTTCTTTATCGCCGGCACATTGTCCTTTAACCAACGAATCTTCAAAGCCGAAAAGTACGGGCTCACGGGCAAACCGCATAAAGATTTCAAATGATTTTTACTCTGATCCGGAAACTTCGCTATAATCTGATCTACAATCGCGTCAGTTCTGATGTCAGACCACACTGAAATCAATTACGTTTCAAAAACTGCTCGAATATTAATCAAACAACTTCAGATTTTATTTTTTTTCCTTCGTTTTTATTTCAAAAGAATTATATATTACTTTTAAAATAAATTAATTAAAATATAAATGGGACCTTAATAAATATTTAATATAAACCAGTCTTTTCAGATTTTTCTTGGACAAAAATAATTTCTTTTCGCAAATAGATTGGACACAAGTGAATCTACTCACCTATGGCATTATAAAGCGGGTCACCGGTAATCGCATTCCACACTATCGTAGTTTCTCTCTGATTAGTAATACCCACTGTAACGATTTCGTCAATCTTTATACCCAGCATGTCCAATTTGTGAATTACATTCTTAATGCAGGCCTTTATTGCAAAAAGAATCTCTTTGGGATCCTGCTCTACACACCCTTCTTGCGGATTGATTTGTTCTATATCGATTTGATGAGATGCAATCTCCGTGACGTGCTTTGCATTAAATACCTGCAGACACAATTCACAATAACTGTTAAAATAATGATTCAATAAAATTAAAGTGCATGAATATTCGTAAAAGAAAAAAACGATCTCTCAATAATATTAATTAAATCTACATCATGTGAAAATATAATTAAAAAAAAAATTTTTTCATTAATAATTTTTTTAATAATTACACATAACTTTTAGAATTCGTGATTAGAATTTATTTTTATTTGTGTAATTATTTAAATAGCTTATTAAACATTTCAGATTAAACATTTCAGAGATTCAAAAATCTTACGAACACGATTTCACGAAAATCTGTTTGAAAAATACTCGTTATTATTTGCTATTCACACAATCTATGTATTGGCTCCCTAAATCATTAATTTGTTTGTTGATCAGTTGCATTTTAGCTACACTTATTTATATGCATTAACAGCGTTATTATTAACATTTTTGGTTTTATTTATTACTGACATTTGAAATTATTTATTTATCACATGACAATGAAAATTGCAGAATCTTCACGACAGATTTCGATAAACATTTAGAAGCATGGCAAATTATAACTTGATAACTATTTGAGCTACTTACAAACTATTTACAATAATCTTACCACAAAGCGAACAGTACGCGTGCCAACATCAACTACACCAACAAGGGGTCCTGTTTTTTTCATCGTACTTGTCATTGTATCTAAAAAAAAAAGATCATCATTAGATAGTTTTTAATACACATTTAATAAAAATTGGAAGAAAATAAGAAGACGCTTTGTGCGCCCATGATAAAAGCTGCGACACTAATAAACTCGAAGAAACATAATGAACACTAATCGAAATTAAAGGCGTGATATAAAATGTATTTCTCATATTATAAAACATCATCTCATGTCATAAAGAATAAAAGATCTTTATCATAATAGTTGTTATGTAAATCCGAAATATTTGTAAACAGTTAAAATTTGTCTAATTTTTTTATTCCTTTATTTCCTAGATCGTTATACAATAAAATTGAAAACAAGCACATTTTTTTCTCGACGTGTTGACTTCAAAGAACACGCTATCAGCGCTGCTATGTCATTCTACTTTTATTATTCATTAGATATTATAAAACAAAGACAGAATAAGCAATAACGCACTTTCTGAATGCAGTTTTTCATCAATTTATAAAATAAATCAAATATATGAAACACGGAATTCAATTTTTGAAAAAAGAATCGTTTACGCAAATTTACATGCACATTTCGTGTTCCTCGCCTAGTAGTGAGGATTAAATCCTAATATAATGCTTTTCCCTTTTGAAAGAAAACTTTTTATATCCTTTTCAATATAAGTTCTTGTACATATATCAATTATTAATTTCTATACATTGAAATATCGGTATTTATAAATCTATAGATAAATCTATAGATAAACTGAGAAAAAAAATTGAGAAAAAAAATTCTTATCTACATATTAAAACGTATTCTCTAATGTTATATTTGTAATAGAAACGATAAAAATTAGTATTACTGTCAAGAAACCAATTTATTCAGTGAAGATTTAATAAAACATAAATCAATCTACAAGGACTCCTTAGTATTCAAAAGAAATTTGGAGATGATAGGGCAATAGGAGTCGAGTAGTCATTGCGCAAATAATATAAAAATATAATACAAAACTCTTTATTACAATGATATAATAATATAATGCGCTTACATGTTTCGGCTCATTTTTGAACCTTCTTCAGAGACATAAATCATTTTTTTTAGATACAATACGTAATAACTATCTTGTCATAGTGAGCTCCCTCCACTATACAAAAAAATCCTATATCAAAATTAAACTCAGATGTTAAAAAGAAAAGAGAAGAATAATTTTTAGAATATATCAGAGATAAAATTTGTAAGACTTTAATAAATTTAATTCACAATGAAAGTAAGGAAGTTTACCACGAATATAAAACATCATACCGCAAATATAATAAACGATAAACAATAAATAATTATCTGGTCAAAAATTAGTTTTTGTGTAATAATAAAGAGTTTTGTATTATATCTGTATATTATTTGCGTAACTACCGTCCCCGACTCTTTATTGTCCTGTCATTTTCAAATTTCTTTTGAAGATTTAATATGTATACGATTATAGTCTTTCAACTTTCGCAATAGTATTCAATGCTGCAAGATTCTTTAATTCATTTCAAGCCGATATTTTCTAACAATGATACAATTTTGTCACTTACAATATTAAATATTTTGATACACAATATCATATTCTGTTTAAAAAAAATCAATGAAAAAATAAATAGATGAAAAAGAAGAAAAATAATAAGACAAAATAAATGGTTTTACTATCCACGACAGAAAACTTAAATACTTAGAATGTAACTTAAAAACTTAAAATTTTCATATAATTGTTCTTCACAATCAATTCTAATCGAATCAATTCTAGTCGACTTCCATGTGGATTACCGGATAAAAATTTCAAATTACTTTATATATGTTCTTTTCATACTATATTTGTTCTTTTCATAAATTTGTTCTATGATGTCATAAGCGATCAATATTTCTTCGCGTTTTTATCGATCAGATTTATGAAGATACGTATTGTCAAAAACTTGTTTATGAAATGATTATTAATGAAAGTTATTAGAAATGAAAAAAGTTATCAGAAATTAATTACGCGACAAGGCCAAATTAAAACAAATGATATAAGATGTCAGTGTTCATTTAAAATAGTAGAAATTCACATTTAATGATTAAAATTGAACGTTTCGAGGTGTACAGAATTCTTTATCAGTAGTATGGAAAAATTACAAATAAAGATGCATAATATGCAAAATGCGCTGCTGAAAAAAAAAATTAATATAATTTAATTTAATTTTTATTATTTTGATAATTTCGAAAACGCGTAGTTATTTAAAGTTGTCTTTTTTAAATTGTTTTAAACGTTGACAAAATAATGCGTTGCACTTCATTCGTTTTTCGGATTTATTTTTGTAACTTTTGGTTTAATTTCTGTCAAATTAATGAAATCATAAATCAAACATCAGAAGAACATTGTAAGAAACAAAATTCGCATTATATAACTTAAATTTTGTATCCAAAATGTCACCGTACCTCGATATCTACAACACTTAGACGATTTTAATTTTAATTTCCTTCATCACCATTCTAGTATCAAGTTCATATACTTAAAAAACGTTCTAGTTAAAAAATTACTTAAAATAAAACTAAATGACGCGCGCAGTTCGATCAGTCATTTCCATAAACAATCTCTGGATCTAGTGAGAAAAATCTTTTTTAATATTCCATCTTACATTTGTGACAGATTCTTTAACACGCAATTTGAAGTATTAAAACGTCTTTTAGAATAAGAACATATAAAATTGAACAAAAAGATGCAATAGCTTCTAAATAAATACAAAAAAAGAGTAATAGATAGTATTAAACCTATAAAAAATATTCTTCCTCATAAGGATCGTGAAAAACTCAACGATATTAAAAGCTTGCATCCACCCACTTCATAACAGATTGAAGTGCACATTACTCTCTGTTTAATGACAAGAATCAGAATTCATCTCTCTCAAACATCAAAAACAAATGGTTTATTAATTTATCAACTATTACCATTCATAACATTCAATGTCTCCTTCAATTCGATAATAATTTTTCTTTACCTCCAGTTAATCTCAAAAAGACAATTCTTGAATTTATCAAAAACATTGAAAATAAACATTGTAAAAAAATTACGAATTAATATCCAATTATTTTCAGAAATCGTACTATTCCTATTTCAAACAATCTTATTTCATCTTTCTTATGTCCAACCTCGTTCCATTTAAAATTGTCCAAATTACTCAATATTACAAAATCATTTCTCAAAAATAATACCGATCTCATTATATTAAGGACGAACAAGAGAAACATCACAGTTGCGATGAATAAACAAGATAAAAATAAAATGATTAAATGTTGAGTGATTCTGATATTTACATGTTAACAAAGATTCAACAAAAGCTTTATCAGAAAAGTGCATGAACTATTAATTAGATGGAAAAAACGAGAGTACATCACACCTTCTACTTACAAAAAAATCTCAAATAGTGACGGGAATTTACCAAGAGCTTATGAATTCTCAAAAATACATAAAGATAGAGATTTCTCAGAATTATTATATCATCTGTTGACAATTCCTTGTATCTATTAGCATCTTTTTTGCATTTCTAAAAGCCTACTAAACTGTTTTAATTATATTGACAATAGTTTTCAATTAGCACAAGAACTAACAAACACGCAGATTAATGACTTTTCACTTATCTCATTGGACATTATTTCACTTTTTACAAATATTCTTTTAGAATTAGCAATTGACAGAATCAATAATAGATGAATATCTAAAAAGCGTAATTTTTTCAAAAAAGAATTTTTCATAGGATTAAGATTTGTTTTGGATTTCACATTCTTTATTTTTGATAACTCGATCTATCAACAAAAGTTTGGTACTTCCTCCTTTCACCAATAATAGCAGATCTTATTACTAGATTTGAAAACCGAAGATTTGGAAACCAAAATTTGCTAAATTTAATATTAAGTTATTATTTTATATAAGATACATTGACGATATTGTGACAACAGTTCCACTGAACACGACGAATGACATATTAAACATTTTTAATTCTTTCCAGGATTTCAATTTACCATTGAGGTTGATAAAAGAATTAATTTTCTTGATGTCACGATCACCAGCAACAATAACTTCTTGAAATTGACTGGTACCATAAACGATTTTTTCAGAAGTACTTAAATTACACTATCCTTTGTTGCAAAAAGGACATAATTGGGATTGATCAAGCTTATTATCACATCCGAAGTTTCGAAAAAAATTTGAAGTTCATCATAAATATCGTGTTCGACGATGATTATTCACTAAGTTTAATTTGAGACAATTAATGCTCATCTTAAATTTTTAATCAACAAAAAACCAACAAACAAATAACCGATGCTGAATGAACTCAATTGATAAAAAATTAATTTGTCTTTTTAAACGTACCTCCAATTTCAGACAAATTCAAAGGCATTACCAAGGGTTAGCTTTTTGATATGAATAAGATGAACACTATCATCAAAGCGCATAAAGATATATTACCGAACTATGACTTCAAAAAGATTTATATGCTCTCATGTAATAATTGTGATGCATCCTATGTTGAACAAATTAATCGATGATTTAAAATCAGAATAGCTGAACATCAAAATGATATTTAAAAAAACACGAAAAATCAGGCTATAATAAAACATAGAATTCATAGTAATCATGATTTGAATTGATCGAATGTTAAAATTTTAGACACCGAACCTTATATTCAAAAACGTTTAAAATTCGAAATAATATATTAAGATGCAAAATAACGGATTAAACTTACAATCTGACATTGAATTTTTACACCATTCATATGTATCAATACTTAATAATTTACATGACTAACTATATTTGTTACGGATCAACCTTCAGATTTACTTTTATATTCTTCATATAAATCCGTTATCTTTAGCGTTAGAAAATCAATGTTATATATAATTATTGTAATATATATAATATATTACATAATTTTGTTTAACAATTCACTCATTTTAAACGTGTCTCTTGATACGGACAATTGGTGAATTTTGACACAATGCTAGTTGCTAAAATTTTTATTAACATATACTGCGG